CTGTGCAGTGAGCTCATCACGGCTGGACGTCCCTCCGCTATGTCATCTGCTGCTCCCCAGACCTCCGACCCATCTGTACCACACACTTCCCCGACTCTGCCTTCTTTACTCCTGACTGCAGACCTGGAGGAGTTCGGAGGGTCTCAACATGGGAAGGTGTGTGCTGTATGATCCCCAAGAAGGCTGCTGTAAGGTCCCCAGTAAGTGTAGGACCTTAAGGCAGCTGAATCTATTAAAAAATATAAAGTGCTGGTATCAGGGAACACACGCCAGCCGGCTGCAGCTCCCGCCCACACGCCAGCCGGCTGCAGCTCCCGCCCACACGCCCGATGGAAGCGGCATATCATTCGCCAATTTCGGGACCGGCAACAGCACGCCGCCTTCCGGCACCTCGTCCATTCCTGTGAGTACTCCTCCCCAGCATGGTAAAACATCCCCCCGAAAATAAGACCTAGTGTCTTTTTTCGTGCAAAAGAAAAAGACTGTCTTATTTTCGGGGAAACACGGTACTTGCTGCGGTACAAAGCTTGGGACTGGCGGACCTAATAAAATCTTGTGGTGGGCCGTTTCTTGCCTGCAACCCTTGTAGTTAACATATGTGAGCTTGTTGGGTTAGCATGACAGCCAGAGAATTGCCTTTTGCAGAATAACATATTAGCATGAGGCTCGGTGTTTCTCAGGAAACATTTCCTGGTGAATGGGCTGTGTTGGTTAACTAAAGGGACTGAAATAGATTTGGATTGGCCCTCTGCTGTGAAGTGAGCAGGGTGGTGGGAGGTAGTTATACATTGCAAAGAACAGTTGACTAGCTTAAACTGCTCATCTCTTCACAGCTGAGTACTCTGGCCTCTGTGGTTTGCTTTATAAACTTGGCAGATTGTAGAAACACCTGTTATGCCACAAGTGCATGTGTGTAGATGACTGAGGCAACAATTAAATGGCATATGCTTCTGTCATGGTGCAGTTTGAGTTCGAGAAAGTTCGGCTGTTGTGAAGAAGTAAAAGTATACCTGCATGTACTCAAGCACGGCCACGGCTACGTAATGTGCTACATTTCCCTGGTGCTGATCCTCTGTGTCACCTGGTTTTTAGTGCTATAGCAAGTAGAGTGACTCAGCACTGTTTGGCAACCCTGCTGCTGTTTGAAAACAGCTGATCACGTGAGGTACTTGCTGAGGCAATGCTGCTTCTTTCTGGTCACCATATTAAATGCAAGTTAGAAGCTTTTCGGGGTAAATGACACTGAAATGCTTATCCTTAAAATTCTGAGCCTCCCATGACTGATTCATTTGGTCACATGACCTCAACTGAATTAGATTGGAAAATTTTGCAAGTGACCTCGGGAGACCTCGGACTCGCAAGTCCGTTTTTGTGTTTGCGTAAATAAACGCCAGCATCTGGACATGCAACTGGTCTGAATGGCCAGAGCAGGTCGTTTCTTCAGAATAGGTACATGTCTTGGCTTTTCTGTTGCTCTTTATTTTTTTTATAAGAAGACTTTTAATATACATTTATTTTAATATTTGACTGGGTCTGCTTTGATGGCTGAAAGTATTAAGTAGGTATGGACCGATATACCGGCCGAAAATTTTGGCTAAATGCCATTTTCCTGCCGATACGTCGGCGCATCCGTGATCTCTTTCCTCCCTGCTGGGCGCTGCTCCGTGTCCCAGCGGGGAGGAGAGAAAGTGACAGCCTGCCGAGCGCTGCGGGACGATCGCAGAGCGGTGTGGGGGCAGAGACATCGCTGTCACAGGAGGCTGAGCTCTCCACCGTGCGCCGCTCACTCAGCCTCCTGTGACAGCGTGTCAGAGAGGAGAGCAAGGTACAAACACTCAGTGATCGCTGAGTGTTTGTAGATAATTGAGGATATGGTATGGTTACTATATCCTCAATTATGAATGAATGCTGAAGCCCCTAAAAGTAAAGTAAAAAATTAAAATCTTAACTAAAAAATTAATCCATATAAAAAAATTACGTTTTTGAAAAATAAAAGATTAAAAAAAATAAAAACATGTTCGTTATCAGTTTCGGCCTGACAATATTTTCGGTTTTTAAATTTCTATTTCGGTGCGCCTCTAGTTTTAAGACACTCTTATAGCAAGCCAGGGCTGTTCGTTTTTCATTACAAATGTTAGGAAACAAAGCTGAAGTCAAACGTAAATGGTAGGCATGTGCAGCTCGCTTTGTTCCAAATTGAAATTCGTACGAATGTCTGTAAATTCGGATGCATATGAATTTCTGAATGACAGAAATAACGAATCTGAATGTTTGATAACGAAATTCGTTACTTACTGAAGCTCTCTGGCTTCTCTGCACTTGTATCTCAAATGAAAACAAAGTAACAGAATACTGTTACAAAATGTAAATAATGAAAGAAGCTGAGAGATCTGTGTTCTGTAACAGCTTCTGCTTCTTTGAGGACACTTCATCTGGAATGTAAAGAATCTGACAGCTGTCACATAATACACAAGTGTTTAACTGTTCACAGAAATAATAATTAAAAAAAAAAAAGTGTGTGGACCCCCCAATTCATTACATTTTTTTTTTTTTTTGGTGTTGGGCATCACCTTAAAATTCCTACCAGACAAAGGGTCTGGTATTAATTGCCGGGGAATCGCATGCTGTTGTCTTTGTTTTTTTGTGGTGTCAGAAATTAAAAGGAAGCAATGTTGCTTTTCTGCAACAAATGTTAGTTTCTAATCATTTAACTCATCCGAAATTAACTGTATTGGGATTTATCCGAATGCTGAAACTAATTGACTTTCTGACCCGAAAAAAGGAATACCGAAACAAAATGATTTGGGGTCATAACTCGACACCCGGCTTCCTGATTGCGCGGGAAGCTGGCTCCATGTTTCCCTACGGCACTGCCGTTTAGTTCACTTCTGACCGGAAGTTCCAGTATCAGGGAAAGTATTGGAGCATTTCGGCAAATACCAGTGCTCGATAACGGGGTGAAAGAGTTGATCCTCCCTTTTTTTTATTTATTTATTAGAGGCCAATCTGCCTTTGACTGGACAAACCCTAGAGTGCGTGCGACTGTTACAGGCAAATGTAGAAAATCTGGTTGTACTTTTAGTTTGAAAAAAACAATTAAATTAGACTGTTTTGTGTGGTTCCTATTAAATACTGTGTGGAATGCCTGTGGCAATTCACAAAATATGAGCTTACTGGAAGTGTAAAGGAAAGTCCAGTTAAGCATTCCTAATAAGTGTTATTAATCTATTCAAACAGCATAAACACAATAGGTGTCGAAATTCTTACTCCAGCACCCCTAGAACAAGGGTGGGCAACTCCAACCCTCCAGCTGCTGTGTACTGCAAGTCCCATGAGGCATTGCAAGACATTTACAGGCATGGCTCCCAGAGGTAGAGGCATGTTGCCCTAGAAGTAGTCGGCTCCCGCCAGTAGCTTGTAGGTGGGAACTGCTGCTGTTTGGGTAAGACTTGAGTTTACTCGGGCAGTAGCCTCCACCACCCTCTGAAAAGCTATCTGTGGCTGCCCTGCAGGTTTGGTTTTTTTTTTAAATTCCAGGGGATCACAACTGTGCACGCACCTGGTTGCAGTCCTATTCATTGCAATGATCGGCAACATTGCCTGTCAAATGCGGCATACTTTTATCATTTTTGCCGCGGCAATCTATGCAGCACTGTTTGGCCACAGTGCTGACATTGCAGCAGATGACAAGGCTAGAGGTAAAATCACACAATAGTCTCTCTGAAGCAATCTGAAATGCCTAACACCTTTATGCCCTGCTGAGTCAGACTTTATGCTTTGCAATTGGCTGGGAGCATGAGCTTTGCTGATTGCAGAGGTATAAGACTGACTCGGCGAAAGGCGTGCTGGACCGCAGTCCTTATCTGCAGGTTACTAGCGAGAACTGGCTGACTTGGGGGGACTGGAGCTTCTTGAAAATCCAAAAGTGAGAATTTGCACAGTTTTTTTTATTATTAATCTGAATAGATTTACATTTATTAGGAATGTTTGGGCTTTAAATCTTTTACACACCTGTGCCATTCAGTCAGCTTATATTATAAGACAATTGATAAGCAGAGCTTACCTTCGCATTTAAAAATGCAAAAGTAAAGGCTTTTAAAGGTATATGCCGTTCTTGACAAATGTGATCCTTGCCTTGTATCCGAGCCCTGTTGGCCAGTCAAGCCAGCCATCACATTAAAGGACCGATAGGAAAGCTCAGCAGGGGCAGCTTTACCTAAACTAAACCTGTCCTATCATCCTCCACAGGAGAGTCTGAGGATGTTCCATCTGGGTGTCTGCTGAACGCCACACAAATCTTTTGAACAATACTCAATAAAAAGAGAAGCAAACGTGAAAATCACCTATATGTACCTACCTCAATTTCATTCTCAGACGCACCTGTAGGCTTTTTCGAGTAAGGCAAACTGCATTCAGGCTGTAAATTACCTTGTAATAGTCCACACTATAAATAGGGCTCCCGCACAAGCAGGAATTCTCTAACCAAACAAATTCCCAGCGGACACATTTATGTATAGAGAGCAAAATCCCTGCCTGTTACTTGGGCTATTGATCTGCATTTATGAGAACAGACATATGTCTTTGAGATCCTCTGTTGGCCCGTATTAATGTGTACACCAATCTGCCTAATCTTTACATCATGTTTAATTTGCTGGCCAGTGGGGAGGATTTAAAGATTTTTATTTTTTTTTCTCCCTATGTGTGGTTTTTTTATGTTCCCAGTAGTGTGGAACATGAGGATGGGGGCTAACAGTGTTTTCATGCCCCCTCCCGACATGAGAGCAAGCGATCAATGTCACAGCGACTGCCCAGCTGGTCTGTGCAATTTATAGAATGTTGATTCCAGTGACATAATCCATAACGCATCCATATGAGGCCTAAATGTCTGCACCATTCACCCTCCCGACAGTCTTGTGTATTATTTTATAGCGAGATGAAGTTAGCTCACCCTAAATAACGCTTTATATGTTTTTCCTTTTTTCCCCTCTTCTCTCCCACAGTTGGCAACCAGCTAGGGGCTCTAGTACATCAAAGGTAAGCAATGGACTCTTATTTTATTACTTATTGATCTCTATCTAATTGTTTATTGATCCACCATCTGTACTCTAGCATGAGATTGTAACACAGGAGGGGAAAGAGACAGATTTCATACACTTGAGCACTTGCCAAAATGGGGGGCGGTCAATAATACTGTGATTTATAGGAGCTGAGGTTTTAGCTCGCCGACACAGACCAGGAGGGCAAGGATCCATACGTAGTGATGTCATGGACTTTTGTCGTAAACTGTTGTAAAAGGCAAGATCCAATAAATGTTTAAATGTTTGCCTTTGTTCAGCAAACCTTAACAGTTTGGCCAGAACTGATTTAATTTTTTTTAGCAGTTTTATATTTAAAGGAGAACTATGAGGTGAGTGTTTTTCACTCACCTCATAGTTCTAGCCGACCTGTGACAATGAGAGCTCAGTAGATCGGGAGGTGAGCGAACACATGCCGGGTTCGCACGCCTCTCGATCCTGTCACGGCTCTCTGCCGTGACGGGGTAGGGGCTGGATTCCCCTCTCCCCACTCCGATCTGCCAGCGCTGACTGGCGGAACGGACGGGGGAGGGGGCGGGTACAGCTGGCTCTGCCTCTAGATAGGCAGAGCCAGCTGTCACTCACGCAGCTGGGCGGATCCCGTCATCTACGTCGGGATCCGCTCCGGCTGCGGCGTCTCAGTATACCGCGAGCTGTAGCTTTATGGACCTCAGCAGATCTTCTAGACCAGGGATGTCCAAACAGCAGCCCTCCCGCTGTGGTGGAACTACGAATCCCATGATGCTTTGCAAGATTCTCACAGCCACAGACATGACTCCCGGAGAGAAATGCTTCATGGGATTTGTAGTATCACCACAGCTGGAGGGCCGGAGTTTGGACATCCCTGTTCTAGACTGACAGATCTCTCATTGAAGAGCATACGAGGATCACACGGGTATATCTGTTCTGCGCGAAAGGGCTCTAGGTATTGTCCTATGTTTTTATAAAAATGTCACTACCTTTTCTGATTTTGTTTGGCGCGAGGGTGAATTCTGCTAGTGAACTTGGAAATCCCCCGTGTATTCATTTTTCTTACCTGTGTTATATCTTCCAGGACTGTGATGACAGAAGAATATAAAGTGCCTGATAAGATGGTGGGATTCAGTAAGTAATCATTTACTGTTGCAATCTTGTACTGACCTATAAGAAACGTGCTAGGTTCTCGCAGCAGGTGTTGTTTGCCTGTCTTTTCTATGTTCGTTTCATAAAGCTCTTTGAATATAATAAAAGATAAATAATAATAAAAATAAATAAAAGTCACATGACAATGTTTGAAATGTTGTGTGCTTAGTTGGAGATAAAGCCTTTACAAAGCTGTGATGTCTATGTTGACGAATGTATAAACGCATAATCCTACAGACTGTTTTGTTTTTTGCTTCCTTTTTTTCCTTTCGGTTTTTGTGTTGCAATTAACTTTAGCAATTTTTCTCCAGTAATTGGACGGGGTGGGGAACAAATTTCACGAATCCAAACGGAGTCCGGCTGTAAAATTCAGATCGCTCCAGGTAAATCCCTAATGTCTCCTTTTTGTGCCTTTTTTTTTT